ATATAAACACTGTACAAGAGAAAGAAAAAAAACATGAGGTGTTCTCTACAGGTTTGATCCCAGTACTGTACCTATGGAGCTATTATCATAGCAAAATGATTGGAGAGTTGTATAACTGTACTATCTCAATCCATGAATGTGTAATCAGATTTGTAAATGTGTAAAATAGCATGGACTGAGATTTGTGAATGTGTACAGGAATCTGCAAATGTGTGTCCAGAATATGTTTGTTTGTAATCAGATTTGTAGATGTGTAAAAAAAAATCAGTGTTCAGATTTGCAAATGAATTGAGATTTGTAAATGTGTACAAACATGTAAATGCGTTTATACATCTGAAAATGTGTACACTAATCTGTAAATGCAGACACATTTTAATGGCTGAGAAGTCTGAAGTATTTGCTGGAAATACAGACAATTCCTCCTAGCTGGCTGAGCTCAGTGTCAGTGGAATGAACAGCCTCCAGGTCCGATGGAGGCCAGTCTGGCGACAGGGAATCTAATAATGCACACATGGATTCTGAACACACATTTTTAGATTCCACAGCCATTTAAACCAGACAATGGCACAGACATATGAAGCCTTGAAGTGTTCATAAAATAAATACATAATAATAGTTTGTAAAATGACAATAAATGAACCTTGATTAATAATTGTTAATTATTAAGATAGCACTTTTTTTTTCAAAGATCACAAAGTGCTATATTAAGTCAAATACACATGTGAAGTAACAGTAGTAATATTTTTTTAATGAGAAAATTGATGGTGTTAGTTTATTTTTGAAAAGAGTACAACTTTCAGAACAGTCCCTGAAAGCAGCATTCCCTAGCAACAAAATAATCTTTGTTTATAAAATACCCTGAAAGAAGGATTAAAAAGCAGAGATAAACAACATAAAGCCAAACAATACAGAGGAAAAAGACAAATACATAACTATGGGGGATGAAATCAGTCCTGAAGAGAGAGAGAAGTCATTATATGTGACACAAATCCGACATCTGGATGAGCAGTTGAAGAGGTAAGACTGTGGGAGGTTAACTGCCAACCTGCTTCTCATTTGGGGGGGGGGGGGATAATAA